CAGGAACATCAGTATTGTGGACACCTCATTCATAAGACAGGCAGTAAAGGTGCCAAGGTAGGTTAGACCTGAAGGTCTGGCTAGTCAGTCATTTTCCATCATCCCGGAGCTTTTTTGAAAGAGAGCATAAGAAATGTGACAACTTTAGAGTGATTCTTCCCCTGTGTATCTTCTCCAGCTTTTGGCCCTCAGTAGATTAGCTACTTCCTAAACCTCATGATGTTTTCAGTTACTGCAGACCAGACAGAAGGTCTGGTCCTAAAAACTGGAGTAAAATACTGCCAAATTGCCTCCCTCCACATTACCCTCAATGAGTACCTTGCCTCCATCAGCTCCAGAGAGGTTAGCTCAAGCTGTGAGGAAAAAAGGAATGGTGAAGGGAAGTTGAGCCAGCTGGTGCTGGGGGGCTCTGGGGTGGGCTCGCTGCTGTGGGGTTTCCAGCACAACCACTTTGCCTGTGAGGCTTTGACTCCTTGTTGGAAAAACAGCAAAGGGTACTGACAAATTACCTCGATGCCTCATTCTGATGTGAGCGAAAAGCAAGTCGGCAGCAGGTTCAACCTCATCATTCCCATTGGCTGTGAGAGCTGGTGCAGGGTGGCAGGGAGCAGCAGCGCAGCTGGGACCAGAACCGCACTGCCAGGACTGCAACTGGGACCCTGCAGCTGAAACTCCTAGGGTCTGTGCAGTGCTGCTGTTGGCAAATAACTCTTACCGGTTAATAAGCGCCTGATAATTTTCACTGTTGCCAAACAACTTTTGCAAATTTTCTTTAGCTTTCTTTTATCTTTTAGAAAGATGCAAGGGAAGTATCACTCTGGATGGGGAGGAGGAGTAAAGCCTTTGGTTAACTCAAAGTCCCCAGCCAGTCTGATTGCACTTTCCAAACCAATTTCCATTCTTGTAGAGGCTGTATTTCCTTTAAGAAAAGTATTTGAAGTGAAAGAAGCTGGGGAGAGTGCCTGAACAGCATGGACTCCTCTATCAAAGCCCTCTTTCGAGGTTCCCCCAGCTCCTGAGAGAGGTTCAGTCCTGGTCATGGAAATATGCACTCTGTGAGACCCAAGTGACTGAAGGGTCGGTTTTCCCCTGGAGAACAGGCAGGAGAGACACTGTCTGAGGTGACCACCACCACTTGCCCACCCCCCCAGTCCAGCAGCTCAGTGCAACAGGTTGTCAGTACTCAGGTGTGTTCTCCCACCAGTGTCTGCCCCTCACAACTCCCCCTCTTTCTCAAAGCCAGAGGAGACGATGTTTGCACTATCTTGGCTCTTTTCCTACAACTGGAGGAACAGGGAAAATTAAGAGAAACATGTTCAGAAAGAGAGGGGATAGAAGACTAAAAGAATCACCCTGCTTTTTAATTTGGGTGATTACATTATGCCCTGGGGTGGTTTGTACAACAGATTTTGCCAGTGGAGCAAAATTAGGCCAAACGGTTCTGTGCATAGGGAAAATGAGCTCTTACAGGTTTGTCTTACACAGAAAACAAAAAAAGGATACAGTATAGATCATTTGATGTATATACCCAGGTCAATACCAATTTAATTCATCCAGTACATACCACATATTTCTTCCATCCAACCAGTGCAGTTCTTGTGTATCAGTAACAGCTACCGCCAGCCAGTCATGAGTATTTTCAAATTGTTCAAGGTTGCTTTCTTCTGCCATCTTCTGGCAATATGAAAAAATCACAGCCTTTCAGTAATAGTGTTGCTGTGCTGGTCTAAGGCAAGGGTTGTCACTAAGGCAGTGTATAATTAGAACAGTTGGCATAACTGGAAAAAAATATAGTCCTTCTTGCATATTTAAAAGCTCACTTAATTCTTCCAGCTCTACCATTTGATCTAGCAGCAGTGGTTCTGTGGTTAGCCCGGAGCAAAATGTCTGTTTTGTACACCTCATGTGTCTTGAATTTCTCTAACAGCAAAGGAGAGTTGCGTAACATGTGAGGCTTTATCGTTTTACAACAGGACTTCATCAAGATTACCATAAATATTTTGAAGAGACTCCTTTTTGCCAGTTTTGCTCTCAGGTCTTCATACCTCCTTGACAAAAGACATCTTTGTTTCCCATGAGACCACAGAAAGATCTTGTCTGATAGGCATGTAAAGCTTTTCTTTCTGCTACAATAACTATTGCTTTCTAATCTATCAGTGTAAAACCTCAAATCATGACAAAACACCTTGCATTATTTGCTTAATTCTCAAACAAAACTTTTTCAGTATTTTGTTTAAAATGTTGATAAGATTTATGTAAGATTAAATTATGGCTCCTGTTCTCCTCTGCCTCCCTTTTCCTGCAGTCACACAGAAGTTCTTTGTAAATGACCATTCATGATCCCCACTCTCCTGTCATGATAGCTTATCCCACATAATTTTGCTAAAAATATGTAATATATGATAATCCAAAAACAAGAAAAAAATCCAAAAGGAGAAAATGTAATATTTTTCCTTAAAATAAACAGAATATTCAGAGCCTGTGAGAAAAACTGCTCACAAAATTCCAGTCTGCAAAGAGAACATAAACAAAAGTTGTTTAAAGCTTTGTTTATTTTGACTACCACCAGCAAAAATGACTGCTTGGGATGACAGGCATTGGAGAGAAAGGATGTTAAAGCTATTTATAGCTCATGGATGGCTCCCATCACCATTGTACCTGAGAAGCTCACAATCCTTAATGTATTCCTACTCACAGCAACTTTCTCAAGCAGAAGACAGCCTTCCCAGGGCTGTGCTGGAGGCACTGAGGTTTGCTTTGGGAAAACAGACTGTTATATTTGCAGCCTGTTTCCAAACTGTCTATTATAAACCACCTCCAGCAGACACAACCCCTAGCAAGGCTGCACCTCTCTCTGTACCTGTGCTTGACTCACTCTCTTGGGAGCCATGAGGCTACTGCTTTGATGGAGGCTTTTCCTCTCTCCATCACCCTACTGGCTTTAGCATTGCTCTACAGTCCACAGCAAGCCTCAGCAAGAGACAGTATCAGAAAAAATAACAGCATAAAACCTGACCAGGTTAAATTGGATGCCATTCATTCACTTGCCCTCACCCTTCCTTGGTGGGATGGGACAGATAATCAAGAGATTAAAAATAAAAAACTCATCAGTTGAGATAAAGACTATTTAATAATTGGAACAACCCAAATTTAAAGAATAAAAATGCCAATTAACTGTAATAAGAATACAAACAATGATAATAAAGCAATCAACATTATACTCAGCTCACAAACAGCAGCCACTGGCCATACGCCGATGAAAACACAACAAGGGAGGGGTCAGCCTCAGGAATAAGGACAGGGCACCATTGCGAAGGAGAAGGGAAGGGATCAAAGGGGCAAAGAAGAAGGAGGAAGGAGTTGAAGGGGTCATCCCTTGCAGGCTCCCCTTTATAGTGAGTGTGAAGTTTATGGGATAGAATACATTTTATTGCTCAGCTTGAATCATACCCAGATCATTTTTCCTGCGTCACCTATCCCAGAGAATCCCAGGCTTTTGCTTCCCCACCCTTTCTCTTGTGCAGAAATAAAAAAAACCAAACCCTAACCAACAACAAACAAAGCCCCAACAAATGAAACTGTAACCACAGGTGCAGGCAAAACCTTGAAAAACAGAAATGTCTGCCAGCAAGAACAAAACTAAAAAAACTTATCAGCTTCATAAGGAAAACAACTCCATCCCAGCCAAAGTTCCAATATCAACTTGTGTTCATTAAATCTCAAACACTGCAGCTTTCATTAAAAGGGAATTCAATTTAATCCCAGCAAAACCAGGACACAACCCCAGTTTTATTTCTTAAAATTCAATATAAGAAATTAGAAGCAAATATTTATCAGAGACATAATCAAAAGTTTGCAAAAGAAAGTAAACCCCAGCTGTAGGTCTTAGTATCTCCTCTTAGCTGCTCTCATACACCTCATCAGCAGTCAGTTTATTTGATACAAATTATCACCCTGCTTAAAAGATGACTTAGTAAAAAAAAAAAGATTTCATTATTTCAAACTTAGCAATTAAAAAATGTAAAGAAAAAATATCCTGCTTTGCCCGAACAAAGCTGAGAGTGTCTCTTGAAAGATTTGAGATTTGCCTGAAAAAAATGAGTGCCAAAATAGATCTTCAAATGTAGAGTTTTGAAGTCTTTCTGCTCTTGATTCCACTGCAAAGAGTTTGTACAGCTTTGTCAACCTTAGAAAAAAGTGCCTTTCTCATCTGTACCCTTTCAAGCAAGGCAAGGCAAGGAGAGCACTTCACTGCTTACATTAAAAGTGCAGGGAGAGACAGGCAGCTCAAAGATACTACTGCCAAACGACTGAGGAATATTAAAACCCCTTTACTCGTGCCTTCAAATATTCTGAAATCTTACAAGCTTGACAGCATTGTCAATTTTGTATTGACAGCAGCAGTCAGAGAAAAATCATCTGAGGAGTAAATCAAGGAGAAGGAAAAAGAAGTGCTTTAATCCACAGTCACACAAATCCATACTGCCTGCAGAAGGGCAAGTGCTTTGGAGCCCCTTTTAATAGCAACATATTAACATCCTTGTTTGTCTTTCCTGAAGCTTGCAAGGCATTCCCCGCAACCCTCTCTTCCACAGTCTGGTCTCTTCAACATCATTTATGTCAAACTGCCCTTAACTCACACCTACCACCAGCCTGTGATACCGATGAAATCTTGGTGCAGCACTGGCTGTGACAGCACTCACTGGACTGTTACCAATATCAAGGTCACTTTGTTTTTCTTGCTCTCGCTGGAGCTCCTCTGCCCTCAGGGCACAGGCTGCCCAAGGAAGCTTGCTGTTTAAGCTCCTCGCAAGCCACAGCCTCTCTGCTCCATTACTGGTGTTATATAAGATTAGAGTGAAGTTTCCACTATTAGAAGCAGTTAGCTGCATGGTGACTGTGTGCTCCTCTGATTATAGCATATAGCACAGTTATGGCTGCTGGCAGCAGGACATAAAACTACAGCTATTTTAAATTGGAGGGAAGGATGAGTGTAGCAGAGATAGGTCAAGAAAAACAGTAGTTTTGCGGGTTTTTAATTCCTAGCAGTGGTACCCTGGACAGGAGCGCCCCAGAAGAGAATTACAGGGGAAAGCATCATCCTAGGCTTGACAGATATCCACAGCCGAGTCGGAAATTATGGTAGGAGCCTGTGGAGGGCAGCGCTGTCTTGCTGGGGATGGTGCATTGAATAGCTCAGAGATGCCAGCTGCTAAGGTAATACTTCTTTTTTATCTCCTTTGAATCTGAAAGCTGCAGATGTAAAAGCTGTCGTCCTGCCACAGCTATAGCCTGTCACTGCAAGCAGGACTCCCCACTTTCCCACCTGCCATCCTCATTCTCCAAGCATCCTTTCCTGCGGCGTTAGCCTCATCCGTGGGCAGGTGCCTCTTCCTCGGCTGCATGGCTCTCAAACAGGACGCCTGGGGAAGGCAGGCTGGGGCTGTGGGGATGGAGGCAGCATGGAGGTTCTCCTCCCTTGGAAAGAGAAAATATGTGCAGATCAGTTACATTGCAAAGGAAAGGAAATGCTCTTCAGGAGCACTTCCATGAGCCACCAATAACATCCTCGCCCCAGAAAACCAGCAGGGCACTGGTGAAGCTCCCCCCACTAGCCTGAATCCTGCCGGGGAGCCGTGAGCTTGGCTCAGCAAGCTCCGCCCCTCCTGGGGGCTTGCCTCATCCAAGGACAAGGGTGGCTGTGTGACCTGGGACAAGGCTGCTGGGAGGAGCTGTCTGAGAGTGAGCAGCGGAGGCCTCACTGGGGCTACCCCCTCAGGATCCCATCTGAGCTGAGACACTAGGGCTTCAACTCCACCTGTGCTACCTCGCAGTTCTGCCCGTGCCTGGTCAGGCACCCCCTTGGCTTCCCCCTTTACCTGGGACCTGTCTCATCCCATGGGCTCTACTGGGCTCTCCAAACCCCTGTTTCAGTCTGGTTACGCTCACCTGCCTTGCCCTGTGACTGCTCCCACGCCTGAAACTGCCTCGCGCATCCCTGCCATCCCTAGGTGCTTGCAGCTCCCCTGGGGCAGCAGCAGGCTGTCTCTGCCTTGCAGCAGCCCCTCCGGCCATGTGCAGGGATGGGAGGGCTCATAGAGGAAGGGGACTTTTGCTCTCCAGCTCAGGCTCCTCACAAGCAGAAGTTGGTACCTTCCAGCTCAGTTTGGAGGAGTCAGAGGGCCCCATTGTAAATGGACCAGGCTGGATGTGAACAGAGGTGTCAGGAGGGAGACCAAGCAGTGAAGAGGTGTGAAGGCTCAGATTTTCTCCCACCCAGAAAAAGATGGCTGCTGGCATGGGGTGAGGGGCATCTGCAAGCTCTGCAGAGCTGAGGGGGTAGCCCTGGAGGAGGCTTGCAGCGCTGCTCCCGCTCCTTCCCGACACTGCGGTTAAAGAGAGGGCTGTGTTTTCCAGAGGCCTCGATCTGGCATCATTCCCAGGTAGTAAATTCTCTTAAAACCCGAACCAAACAGAGCTTTAATTGTACACTCTGCTTTTCTCTTCCCTTCAGAATAATGGCAATGGCATTAATACAGAGCTGTATTGAACACATACCCGCACTGAGGCTGAGGGACCGATTCTGCTTTCCATTATTCAGGAGCACTGCCTCTGGTGAGGCAGATCAGGCTTTAAACAGCGAGCAGGAGCAATGAACTTCTACTGTTCCCCGCTGTTTGAGTGTGGGCAGAATAAAAGGCCATAATATATGATGCAGTCAGCCAAGAAAGCAATATTGCTCTGCCATGTGCACAGTCTATACTGAGACGAGTCCAGGATCTCATTTCTAAATTCCCATAGGTGCCTCATTTAAACCATCGGCCATAACCTGCTTCTCATTTTCAATACCACTTGGTATTAGAGCTGCAGTGAACTGCTGGTGAGAGATTCTAATTCCTGCAAACAAGCCCCTGTAGGCTTGCAAGGAAAACAGAGAGTTCCCCTCTTGGTTGCCTGCTAGGTTCCCATCTGGCTGTTTTAACTTTGCTATTGCTTTTAAATGTGCCTGTTTCTGCACACGAGGCTTTCAGCTCTACCTCAAGAGACTCCTGCGTTCTCTTAGCGCCGGATTCTGGCCAAAATGTAAAGACACAGATTGGGTCTTCTTAACAAAAATGAAGATCAGATTTCACATTACAGTATCTGAAAGATTAATTCCACTTACATGATCATTTCCCTGTGAACCACACTTCTCTCCATCTGGATTTTTCCATCAGGAGGACAAAGGGCTGTAGTGTTAAGCACTACCTGAGAGAAAAGAGCAAGGAGTATAAAAGATGAGTAGTGAGATGCTCACTGAGAGAAAAAGAGAAGGAAAAAATGGAGTAGACAGCTATTTCAAATGCATTGAGAGGCTTCTTTTTTGTTTGTTTGGTTTTGTTTTTTTTTCATGTGAATTATATTCTGATCTCATGCTTTGGTATTTTGGACTGTTTAGCTTGTTGGGTTTTGATTCAGGGAATTTAGGATATTTGGCTGCAGGAGCTTTCTGTATCATGCTATTGCTATCTAGTGCTTGCATTATGATAGTAACCACAGGTTCAGCCAAAATCTGTGCCCTGCTGTGCCTGAGGCTATCAACAATCTCATATAGGACCTTGTTATTGAAAGACACCTGTCCCCGTCCAGGCTATCATCATAACCACAAGCAGAGCTGTGCCAGCTAGGAAGGTGCTAGCAAAAGGGATAGAGGAAAGATGACTTGTGGCCCAACTAATGTCCTGCCACAGCCTCCTTCTGGGACTTCAGACGGTCATTTAATCTCTCTACAGCTCAGTCTCATCTTTAGGAGACAAGGTAACAACCATGACAAAATGGCAAGAGGCTTTCAACCTGTTACAGAAGTGAAAATTAGGGCTAACCAAGTAAGTGGCTGCTCAGTTAGTTTGTGTTCCTTTTAGTTTAGTTAAACAGAACATGTTTTTCTCAACCAGAAATGTGCCACTTCATCTTAATATTTTAAAATATTTTATGCAAACTAAAATTCCAAAACAAAACTAACTTTGAATAGAAAAATGGAAATTGTTTGGGGTTTTTTTGAAATAACAAAACTATCTCAAACCTACAATATTGGAGTGTTTGCTTTTTTTTCCAGAACTTTGCTGAGTTTTCTCTCACTGCAATCTGCAAATGTAACACAAATCTGTTAAATGCTTTAGCCAATTCAAGTCAGTGGGGGTTGTGTGTTTTTTTTCTTTTCTTTGCCAGAAAAAAATCTTCAGTAGAAAATAGCAATTGTTGCCAGTGTAGAAAAATAAAATAAATTTTTTAAAAAACTTGCAATCTATGGTACTCAAGTGACTGGATAATATCAGGGAGATACAAAGCTCACCTACATTGTTGCCCATGAGGTCCTGGAATTACCAAGTCCTTCAGGAGTTGCACCAAACTGCATGCAAACAGCGTGCATAGGCACCCACCACCCTTCCTGGTCTTCCTTGCAGCTTGGCACTGCCAGCCCCACAGCCACCTGCAGCCTGTGCGACATCCAAGCCTCTGTGACACCCAGAGAGGTGACTCAGGCGCAGATCTGGAGCCAAGCAGGCCCCAGCCATTTGGGGTGTGACCCAGTGCTCTGGGTGTCTGGGAACTGATGCATAATGACAAAACAGTTTTAAAGGTTGTGCTACCTTGTATTGTCCCAGGCAAGTAAGGAGGTTAACACATCTGAATAGCCTTTAAAAATCTCTATCCCATCCCACATGTCTCTTATAGGTCAAAGGGTTTGAGTTTTTTGTTGCAGTTGTCCTGTTTATACAAAAAAAAACCAACAAAACAAAAAAAAGAAAATAAAGAAAAAAAAAAGGACAAAGAAATACAGAAAGAAAGAAAGAATCTACTTAGAAGGTCTTTAGGTACTTCCAGGCTACAATTTAAAAGAAAAGTAATCCTACCAAACTTGCATGATCTAGATCTCTGCAGAAAACCTTAGTGACCTTACAAGACAAAAAATCTAGCAAGACAGCTTTTGGGAGTCACCCAGAGGGAGAAGCTTAGAGAAATGTAATCTGTGGTGCCACTTTTGCTAGCTTTGCAGTATCTTAATGTAGAAGGGTGTCGAGGGGAAACCCTCAGCAAAGTCCCTGGCCTTCAATTAAAAAATTTATATTACTTTCTTCATTAGTCCAATCATGTGGTATAGCTATTTCCACGCTTACTCCAAAGGCCCTGCAGAGCAATTCAATTTTAAGGCCAGAGCAGCACAGAATGGAGTGGTGTGCTTGAGAGGAGCTCCTGTTGACATGAGGAGCTCACTTGTCTGGCATTAGTCATGTGAGGCAAACAATATTGACACACTTTTTTGGGAAGAGGATCACTGTATGAAAGGGAGCTCTGTTGCAAAGCATCTCCCTGGCTGCAAAGTCTGGGGTTGCCTGCTAAGTTTCACCGGCACCAAAACAACTCAGCTCTTGGAGGCCAAGAGAATCTGCTCAAAGTCAAGCCTTGAACGAGAGGTCTCACAAAGTAATTTTTTCCCTCTGCTAATCATCTCCATTACTCTAACTAGCTGACAGGCTACAGCAGGAGTTTAAAGCAGTGGAGGCCAAGACAACTGAAAGTTTGATATGCATCTGCTTACCTCCACAACTTAAGCTTTTAAACATCTGCAGAGTTCGAGTGTCAGCCATGCTCCTTGAAAATAAGCCCATGGTTTTATGAATCTCCTGATGTAGAACCTGTATTATCTTTTTCTTGATTTCCTTTTACTGCTTCAGCTTAATGTTCTGTGTCGGTGAAAGTACAAACAGGTCATCATGGCGATGCTGGTAGTAGCTCTTGAGCACAGTGCATGACTTTCACAAGGCAATAAAACTTGTAGGGCAATGCACAGTATCTTTTTCTGTGCTATTCTTCATGTTAATCTGTGCTGGGAATGCACAACATACTCCTTTACCAAAGCTCTTGGTGTTATGTGCCCTGAAAAATTCGTAGGCTTTTATCCCTATATTCCTCTCTAGTTCCCTGCAGTTCTTTTCCTTCATCATTGAAAGTAAAACCAGTCGGCTTTTTTCCATCTCTGCCATAATTTTTATTGTGCTTTTCATATTTTGCTTATTAAGTAGCTACCCTGGGGAGACTTCCTTTGTATTGGAATGTACAAAAGGCCATAACGGCTCTTAACATTTGTGGGGAGAAAGAAGGAAAAGAGAGCAGGGGAAGATAATTTAGGCTGAGGTCACAGAAACATATTTGGTGTGTTCCATAATGTGCCTCGTATCACCTCTACTTCTTTTTCCATAAGCAGCAAGATGTTCTCCCTTGCTTTCTGCTTATTCCCCAAATTAGCCTACACTGTTAAAATATAACATACCTGAATGTTTGGACAAAGTTGTCACTTTGGGAGCAACATCCACCTGACTGATGCTGCTGTGGGGCAGGAGATAGACTAGATGACTTCCAAAGGTCCCATCTGGACTTGTTTTCTAGAATTACTGTGAAAATAAAATTCTAGATTTAGGCATTCAGGCATTACGGCAAAAGCTGATGCCGCATAACCTTCTGCAGAATAAACACAGGCAGCCCCACTTTGGGAAAAGTTCTAGTGTGGCTCCCATGTCGTTTATGTCTTTAATACCAACAAGCAACCAAAAAAAGCTCATCAATATTCTCTGGAGGCAAGAACAGCAATTCAGGATAATGAGATCTTGGCAGGACAAATGATCCTTAAGTCTCAGAGAAGGGACTTCATGGATGTCTTTGAACTCTTGCTCTCAGCTGAGCTCTCCTTCAGGCTGGACCGGCTGGCCTGAGCTTCTTGGGTCTAAACCAGCAAACAACACTGTGAAAGGGATGCCCATATTCCACTGCATCATCTGTAAGGGAGCAAAACAGTCCTAGATAGGATTCTCAACAGGGCAACAAAGGCAGACCAAAATTCCCCCAAAATTTCCCAAAATTCAGATGCTCTCTTTTCTCACATCGCAGGTAAGTACCCTACCCCTCAGAGAGGAGAAACAGCCTCTCTCCAGAGGCAGACAGCTATCACATTATTTATACAAAGTGGAATGGCTCCCAGAGGAGAGACTGAGACAGGTAGGCACAAGTATACCAGTATAGCTGAGTGTTCAGGGGTATCCACCTGAGAGACAGAAAAAAACTGGTTCCAATTCTCTCTATTTATATACATGTATACATATACATGTGGGTATATATACATGTGAAAATTCTTTCATATGTATACATGTATGTATATATATACATGTGTTTAAATACATCCCTATGAATGAGAAAAAAAATCGTACACACATACATTTTATATAAGTATATACAAACACTATATGAATATATGTCTTACATACACATCCTAAGATTTCCACCTTGGTCCCAGAAGCTTTGTAAGTATAAGTCAGTCCAATGATTCATTCTTTCAGAAACTTCCAGTTTTAACTAAGCAGAATCAGGTGTGCACAAACACTTTGGTAACTCTCTGACATAAATTACAGCAGCTTTCCTGTATACACACATCAGTGCTATAGTAACAGAAATAATACCTACACTTACGAGGTTCAGCCAGGGCTGCATTTGGGTGGCACAGAATGTTCTTTTTCAACAGTGTTACTTGACAATAAGTTAAATCATATCGTCTTATGCTGCTGCTTTCTCAGGGGATGAATTACATGCCTGTGGAGTCCTACCACAGAGTCAGTCCTGCTCTCTGGATGCTTTTAGCAACACCTGAAGGCCCTGCTGCACACTCCAGTTATAATAATGTAATGCTATTTGGAGGGTAATGAACAGGACTACTTTCTAGGGAATATTATTTCTGTATGAAAATTTCCTCTTAATTCATTTCAGAAAAGCTGTCTCTGATACAACCCGAGTGCGTGCAAGAGAGGAGCAAGATGCCTCACAACAGAGACTCTTCATCTCCAACTAGCAGTGCAGGGAGCAGCGCTTCCTATGAAACACCAGCACTATCAGACCTCCAGCGGCTCTTTTGGTTCAGAGGAGGGTCTGATAATCACGTGGACCAAGTCTGGACAAATATTTACCTGGGAGATGCGTAAGAACATATGGTCCTATCATTAAGCTGTTATCGGTCCCTGGCAGGAGGAGGTAGGGGTGTGGTACACTAGAGAGCAGCTTTTGTGTCAGCATACAAAATGCTGACCTACTCATAGTGTGTCTGAGTTGTGTTTTCTATATTCTGTGAACCACACTGGATTTGGCAGGGTAAGAATCATTTGTATTCTAGACAAAAGTCCTTAAAAAACCAATCCCACATTGGTGTCAACTCCAAGAAGTGTTATCTTGCCCTGGAAACTGTGCTCTAAGGCAGCAGACAAGAACACAGTAGCCCTTGCACTCAAATAGGAGTAGCAGAATCAAGAGCCAGATGGACAAGGACCCAAATGAATTATATAATAGGGATTTTGCCAGTCCAAATCCAAGCTTTTTATTTCAAAGATGGTAAAACTGAAAATATCAAACAGGAATTTTCATGACATTTCAATTTTCACCTTATTCTTGTGACCACTTCTATTTATTGCCATTTCCCTCTATTTGGATTACTGTAGATTACATAAATAATCAGCTCATTTTCGCCAATGCCTCCTCTTCATGAATACATCAGTTAAGGATTACAGTTTTGTGAAATCACTTTGGTCCTAGTTTATGGTGGGAAGGCGGTAGAACCTGGTTGGTAAGCATGATGCAGCTGCTTCATGCCCAAACCAGGAAAGAGGTGCTGCTGGTGGTGGGTTCTTGCCCTTGTGACCCATGCACACTATGAATGAGATTAGTTCTAGAACTTGCTGAACAACTATTTAAAGGAAAATCTTGACCGCTTTATATAGTAAGCCATGCTCCCAGGGATTAACTGCTGGGAGGCATTTGCTTAACAGTATCCCACTGGCAGGTCAGTGCTCTTGCTGCTTTCCACACCACCATAGCATATTTTCACTTGCAAAGCATTATGGGCTTCTCAAAATTTGCTACTCTGTAAGCAAGCTGCAGTTCCCGCATCCTTCCCTATCGGAAGCAGGCACTAACTTTAAACTGTGCTATTTCAGCAGAACATTAGGAGTGTTGCCAATGAGAACTTCATGTCTTTCAACAGGTGGGCTGCTAGGAGCAAAACTACTCTTCAAAGCCTCAACATTACTCATATCCTTAATGCAGCAGATGGGCCATATAGCATCAACACAGGAGCCAAATATTACGAAGATCTGCAAATAGAGTACTATGGAGTAGAAGCATTTGATGATCCTTCTTTTGATTTAAGTATCTTCTTCTACGATGCTGCCAATTTCATAAGCAAAGCCTTAAACACTTCAGGAGGTAAGAGGGAGGCAAAGAGAAGCTTTGGGAGGAAGTTTCAACACAAGCCAAATGGCTTCTCCTAGCAGTAACAGGCAACCAGCAAAGCTCAGATTCAGCACGCTGTCTGAGAAGCCACACGCAGACCTACTGTGTGGAGGACAGGAGAAGGGCGCCTAATCCCATGCACTGCAGCGAAGGTGGCTGTGGCCAGGTACCCGTGAGCTGGGCAAAGGTGGCTGGAGGAAGGGCTACCTCTAGGAGCAGAGTGAAAGGGAAGGGCAGAGGTCACGGCACTGCAGGTGCTCCACCATGGGTCCATCCTGCAGGAGCTGGCAGGACCCATGTGCCTCTACACACACCTTGCACACCGCTGCGGCCCTGCCATCCTGCCATGGGTACCACAGCCCTCCTCCTGCTCCCAAGTGCTGCTGGGAGCAGCAGCACTTCAGCGCTGGCTTAAATGCTTCACATGCTTAAGTGCTTCACAGAATTGGAGCTTTATTCAGACTGTCTATTAAGCTAGAGAAGCAGCAGAAGTTAATGAACTAAGTCAAAAACTACGAGCCTGACCCACAGCCTGCTGAATTTTTGTCTGCAGAGTTTGGATTATGGCCTAGTTATCATAATTTCCATTTGTTCCAGAGTTTGCTCTGACTCTGACTGGCTGCGAGATCTGCTGCTTTCACTGGAGTGCTTTATTAAATCCCCAGTTATAGCTCACACTGGGCTGCTGAGGTACAGTAAATTATGAGTCCATTTTTACAGGCAGACTATCCTACAGAGTTTATGGGACTTGTCAGTGATCACAGTCAGGGTTGGGCCAAAATTTTCTGCCAAAACTGGGTTTTTTTCCACAGAAAACTATACTAACAAGTTTAGTCACAGAAAGCTTCTCCTTACATAGGAAATTTCAACTATTTTAACCTAAGGCTTAAGTTAGATGCATTAGGTCAGTACGAAACACCACCTTGCCTGGGATGTATTGTGTGATCTTATGCATACTGTCCATGAAAACATGAGTATCTGCTAATCGTCACTGCTGTTTGTCTCTAGTAGTTTTTGTCCTCCCTGAGGCCCTCTTTAGAAATGCTAAAGCCCCCTCACCTCGCTGTGCCTTTTCTTTTGCAGGTAAGGTGTTCGTTCATTGTGCCATGGGTGTAAGCCGCTCTGCGTCTTTAGTGCTTGCCTTTTTAATGATCCATGAAAACATGACACTCGTGGATGCTCTGAAAACAGTGAGCGCTCACAGAGACATCTGCCCAAATTCAGGGTTCCTCAGCCAGCTCCGAGACTTGGACATTAAATTAAATGAAGAGAGGAAAGGAACCAGAGAATCTGCTGCTAAAGAGTTGTAAGAGTATTGCTGAAAGAGAGAGGGCAAAAAGTTACTTGAGTTTCTTGTATCTCTTTTAAATAAATTGCATTTTTAAACTAAGGACAGAAGTTTATGATACACCAGAATGCACATTATTACTAAAAGCAGATTTTACTTGATCTTTCCGTTTTGCAAAGCCGTCCCAGATTATACTTACGATTGGTTGTATATTGTATCCTTCACTCTCCACCTTAAAACATTGCTCTCTGCCAGTAAAAAAAAAAGTCAGGTTACACTTCAGAAATCTCTGTGTTTCAACAACTAGTGAAGCTCATATCACTTTATGAAGTGTTAGGCTATTTGAGGTGAAAGATGTCATATTATTTATGCTACAATAATGCTTAGAAGTTTTCTTATGAATCAGCCTCCCACCCCTTTGCTCCCCATATCTAAAATGGTTTGTATTTTGAGACCTGAATCTGGCACTGGTTAGTCCTTGCTTTTAGAATTGGTGAAGCCCCTGCATTGGGGGCAAGAGGCTGTTTAAAGGCAGAGCAGCTGGGAAACAACACAAGCCTCTCTAAGAAACAATTCCAGGTCTATTTATAATGTTTTCCCTTTAACTGTTCATCAGATATATTTAATATTTTTTTTAGTCCAAGAAAATGCCTTTCTTTGAGAGAGCATTCAAACACTGTTCATATTCCCTAGTAAAATCCATCCAGGAGACACTGTGGAAAATGCTTCTGAAGAGGGAGGTGGGCTCCCAGTTGAGGGTCCAAACAGCTACATGGGCAGAGGGAGTGAGTGCATGAAAGCATTTGACAACAAAGTTCAAGGGAACCCAAATTTGGCTGGCAGTTCAACATTCTAAAACTTAGGATTTTCTTTCTGAAAAATAAAGGTCATTAACATTGCAACATCATCCTCCGTGGCATTTGCTTTTGTGAGAGAACTCAAGTGAAAACTGAAGGGATGCAGGAATGGCAAGGGAGGTGCTGACAGGCATCAGGCTTTCATCTTTGTGTTTCTGGGCCACCATAAGAGCACTCAATAGCTACTGTCATCTGATGGATCAGTGCTGCCTGGAAACTATGTGAAGCACATCTGGCTCTCAGTTCCCAGCGGACAAACATTCGTAGCACAAAGCCAGCTTGAGGATGGCAGTTGTTTGCATTCCTAGTACCAAACTCAGGAATGTAGAGGCATGAATACTCCCACCATGTGAGCTGGCTGCTCGAGAACAGCACAGCAACAAGGGAAAACATTCCTTGCCATTCCCAGTGCTGTCTACAAGGCAGATTTCTGCCTTCAGGACAGACAACTCAGCACCTTTTATAATGCTCTTTGGTGATATCTACATTTGCTATATGGGCCAGGCTACAGAAGCAAGAGCACAAAGCAGAGCATTTGGCACTGAGGGTCTCTCAGAGGGTTTGGATTTGGATTAACCCTGTGGATTGGACATCCCTGAGCAGCAGGAAAGCAGTGCTGGAGCGCTTCTGCGCTTTAGTTTCCTGTGTAAGGAAACCTGCTCAGGAGCTGTGGGTCTGATCTGCAAGGCCAACAAAAACACAGCAAATAGGGATAGGCAGTTTACAAGTATACTTCAGACCCAAATAAAAATTTAACATGCACATCTCAGTTACCAATTAACTCTAACAAACTGATTTCAACTTACAGAACAAGTGGGAAACAAACCCTATGGATGTGGCTATAGAGATGCCCGCAGCCCAAGCACGGGAACCACATTTCCTTATATTTCCCACCTATAGAAAAACTCTCCTCACCTTGAGCCGCAGGACTGAGGCCAGCCAGTCATTTCTGGCCACAGAGTGAAGGGCGCAGCTGAAGATATGCTGGCTGGGGGTACGAGAGTACCTGCAAATTAAATGTGTTTCACTCAATAAAAAACTTACAGCGTTTTTTAAATACTGGTTGGTGCAACAGGAAAACCTGCACCTTACTCTGATGACAAATCAGTGTAAACACTGCAGAATAACACACAGGATGCAATTTCTCACGCTGCGATATAACATACGCTGTTTTACCCCCAAAAAACTGGCGGTGCCACCTCGCCCTCCACAACCCCCGGCAGCCGCGTCACCGGGAGGCGCCACCAGGTGGCGCTGTCGGCCCGGCGCGGGCGGTGCC